GTGTGTGTGTGTGTGAGAGAGTGTGTGTGTGTGTGTGTGAGAGAGTGTGTGTATGTGTGTGTATGTGAGAGAGAGAGAGTGAGTGAGTGTGTGAGAGAGTGTGTGTGTGCGTGTTGACGTTACCGTGCTTCTGCCCACTTGATGTCCGTTGGTCTCGAGGTCAACGCTCTGCAGGAACTGTCTGATTCGCGTCTGAGTGGCATGAAAGCCGGCGGGTAACAGCACACGGAAATGATGGGCAAAATCCTGAAGACACAAGACCAGATCCGTTTCAATCTTTCTGGATTCTGTTTTTTTTCTCTCCATTTTCCAGATTCCATTTTTTATGCGTTTAATTTTTTTCCATTCCGTTTTAAAGGTTAAAATAAATTTTAGTAATCAAAAATAAATAATTAAAATAAAAAATTTATAAAAAAAAAACTATTAAATCCGTTTTCCCCCAAAAATTCTGTTTTCATTTATTCCCAAATTCAGTTTTTTACTAGAATATTACTGTATTGTGTTTTTTCTGTTTTATTTTTTTGTGGATTCTGTAGTAATCAGAGACCATGTCTTATTACTTTACATCATGACAATTACACAATTTAACATCAATTTACTAAAAGTTTCACAAAAATGACATTTATTTTTCCATTCCATTCCGTTTTATGTTTAATTTTCCATTTTTTTAATTGTTAAATTAAATTTTAGTAATTAAAAAACCATGTCTAATTAATTGAAATCATTAAACTTTAACAATTTAATAATTACTTTTAAAAATTATTTTTATTTTATTATTCTTTAAAAGAATTTCAGTGTTGTGTGTTTTAATAATAAACTTAAAACTATAAAATAATAAATCCAGAAATGATCAAAAACAGTCATAATCATTCATTTATTTTAAGTCATTTTAACTAATTTATTAAAGATATAACAAAATTACATTTTAAGGCTTTTTTTCAAATCAGTTTAGTTTTTTCCCATTCAAGTTTTAATGCAATAGATTTCAATTAAATTTCAATAATCAACTGAACTCATAATTCATCACATTTTTACAATAACAGAGCCTAAATAGTTTATTTTTTCATACAATCCGTGTTGTCTGTTTTCATTTTTCTGGATTTATGATTTCTTATCAAAAACTGTAGTAATAAAATTATTCATTAAAAGTTGAGCAAAAATTGCACTTTTATGGTTTTTTATTAATTAATTAATTTTTCTAAACAAATTCTGTTTTCTGTCATATTTTTTTCTGGATCCAGTTTTAATAGTTTAACTAAATTTTAATAATCATAAATGTATTGTAATTCATAAAACTTTTTTGTGTGAACGGGTGTGTTTCGTCACCTGGAAGCTGTATTTGACGCTGTATCCGGAGCGCTGTATCCTCACCGTCTCCAGCATGCCGGTGTAGCGTAACTGTCTCAGCACCAGCGCCTCGTTGAAACGCAGAGGAAGCTACCAAACAATGAGGCAAATCAAAGCATGCATCTAAATCCACTGACGCAGTAACAGAAGCACGACTCGTATCGTACCTTTTCTGCATTAGAGCGGATGCATTTCACGAAGTACGGCTCCGACTGTCCCAGAGTCTCCATCAGCTTATTCAGAGACACCTGCATCACACACAGGACAGGATTACAGAGAGTTGTTCAGATTGTGTGTGTGTGTGTGTGTGTCAGTGCGAGTGTGTGTGTGTCAGTGCGCGTGTGTGTGTGTGTGTGTGTGTCA